AGATGCAGGAAAATATTTTTTCCTGCATCAGTGTGATTTGCTAGTTGAAACACTAAAATTATTTTAAAAGCTGCTTGTTTTAAAATAATTATTGGCCAAAGTTGTACAGTCGGTGCTGAAGACTCCAGAGGGAGCTCCAAGTTTAGGACCTCGATTGTGTTAAATGTTTAGGATCCCTATGCAGAGGACATAACACTAAATGAATTATTTCTAGAAATCCATTTACACCTCTTTATCCTGAGTTTTGCATAACTTCCTGAATTGTGGCGCATTTGTTTTTATAGGCTGGCCTGCAGCTACAGGAAGGGCCCAATGAAGTGGTGTTTAGCGTAACCACCCAGTATCAAGGCACCTGCCGCTGTCATGGCACCATCTATCTTTGGAGCTGGGATGACAAGATTATCATCTCGGATATCGACGGAACCATCACAAGGTAGGAAGCAGCAGGTTATCTGCCATCAATAATCATTTCCAGCTTTTCACCAGCAGATGGCAGGTTTTCCACGAGTTGCTTCACTGTCGGGATTTGTTTAATGCAGGTTTGGTGTGCAAAGTTTGACACCAAATCGCTTTTGTGTCTGTGTCACAATGTGCTTCAGGTCTGACACTCTTGGCCACATCCTTCCCACTCTGGGTAAAGACTGGACCCACCAGGGTATTGCACGGCTCTACCACAGAGTCAGCCTGTGAGTCTTGCCCAACAATTGTCCGTTTTGTCGTTAGGTGTGCAGTTAAGTCATGCGACTTGGAAATGAATGAGACTTTAGTTACAAATGTAATGATGTTCAGCCTGCTGAACTCAAAAAGACTTTGGACTTGATTCAAACCTCCATAACAGTTGGTTTTGACATCAGCTTGGATATGAGCCATTTCACTAGAAAATACTGAATGCCAAACACAAACTGTTGCATGGAATTGCACCTGCTGTGCTACAATGGAACGCCTGGCACACAATCCAGCTGCTGGAGTGCCTCTCTGGCCATTTGCCAGTATTTCCTCCTCACGCTTCATTCTCCATGTTGTTTACCTCCACTGCAAGTCTGACGCATTCCTGCATGTTTGAGAAGTTCTTGAAGAGTTTTTTTTTTTACTTAATACTCTGTTTTGTAACTGAATCATCTTTTTCTGTCACAGAAACGGCTATAAATTTATGTATTGCTCAGCTAGAGCGATTGGCATGGCTGGGATGACGAAGGGCTACCTGCACTGGGTCAATGACAGAGGAACCATGCTGCCGATGGGCCCGGTTCTGCTCAGCCCCAGCAGCCTCTTCTCTGCCTTTCACAGGTCAGTTACACACACAAGTAATCAGCAAAATGAACAGTCTATTTAATATATGTTGTTATTATTCAGTGGCTCAATTCCCTGACAAAACACACATTTCATCATGTGCAGCACTTTGAATTAGCTTGTTGCTAAAACGTGCTAATGAGTTAATTATGATGATTTTCTGCTTACAGGTAATGAAAACACAACATTTAAGATTAGAATATTACATCAGAGCAATAAAAAAATGTACAGTAATGTAGTCTTAATGAAAAGCATGTTTAATACCTGCCTAATAATTGTCTTTTAAAGGTAACCCAGTCCATCACAATGGAACATTACATTTTCTGAATTGGACTTTTTGTACAGTTTGTAGTAAAGCTAGACAGTTTCAGGAAAGTATTTGAAATACAATATTCCTTCAAAACTCTTTGTTTTCAGGGAGATTATTGAAAAGAAACCAGAAGTGTTCAAGATTGAGTGTCTGACGGACATCAAGCATCTTTTCTATCCGAACACTGAGCCTTTTTATGCCGCCTTTGGGAACAGAGCCACGGTAAGAAACCTGACCACACACCATCACAAACTGTGTACAACAACTTTCTGATCACACTGAGACCCCTTGATGTCAATTTTTCAAATATTTGACAAGCACAATGAAAGCTCTTTTTTTTAGTTTTTGTATTTTGAGGAGATGTTTTGGTGCTGATTGTGAATGTTTGATTCCAGGATGTGTATTCGTATAAAGAAGTCGGCATTCCTCTGAACAGGATTTTCACTGTCAACCCAAAAGGAGAGCTAGTACAGGAACATGCCAAAACAAACATTTCCTCGTAAGTAATACCCTCTATTTACTTCTAATTTCCATTAATGCGATTTCACTGAAAACACTCTTGCAGTTTTAAGCTTTAATAAAAAACAAAAATCTTGTCTTTATGGCTACGTCTTTGTTTCTTTAAGATTTGGACGCCTGTGTGAGATGGTCGACCACGTGTTCCCAGTCCTGCAAAATGAGGAAGCGGACGTCCCCTCCTCTGACAGTTTTGATCAAAACTCTGACTGGAGGAAACGGCTGCCTGACCGTAGCAGTCATGAGGAGGATGAGTCCCAGCCTATTGAGGCAAACTGAAGGAAAAGAAAACATGGGATGAAGAATCTTCAAGCCTGCAGTTTTGGCTTGTCCTGTTCATGATGACAGTATCAGAGGTTCACATCTGAGCTCACAGGTGGAAATTATGCTACCAAAAACTGAGATGGAAACCGGCCTGAGGATTTCTCTCTAAAAATGGACGATGAAAACAGTTCTTACGCTAAAACATTACCTTTAAATAGGTAATTGTGACTACTCATGTAAAATAAATGAATGTATGTATAACCATGTAAACAGAATAACTAAATAAGTGCAAAGTGGAATTAATAATTTAAAAAATAGGGACTCGTTTTCAGGAAAAATAACTGTGGAAAAGGGAAGTTTTAGGAAAAAAGACAGAAAAATGAACCTGATACGTTTGAACAAAGGTTGAGAGTTCCTCATGAAGTAAAATTAACACATGGTTTATAGCACAAATGTAAAAACGTACCATCTCGCACATGCACCACACTGTTTTCCTCTTCTTCTTTTCAGTCCCACAGACTTTTTCATTTCGACTAACAGCAACAACCAATACAGCTGAATAATAAAACTGCATTTCCTATGTTATAATGTAATATGTAACTTTAGGTTTTTATGCAGAATCTACTTCTACGTTTTCTTCAGGAAAGAATGTTGAAATTTCTACTCAACACTGGCAACTTACCACCAAATGTTATGCAGGCACAAATTGCAGTTTAGTGTGACCTCATGCACATATTTTAACACAACATTACATGAAAGCCATCCAAGTTATAAAAAAAAAAAAAAAAAAAACGAAACAAAAACAAGTATTATTTTTCTGTGACAATAGCCTCCCTTGCAGGTGCGACTAAATATTTGTGGTATTTTGACCGTGCTACTGTGACAAATTTGTCTAGTTTTCTGTTACTGTGTTCAAGATAAATGCAGGATAATGCAAACTACGTTGTGTAACATGTGGTAACTTGTAATATATAAACTACACAGTATTCTAATATGTTGATCAATGCAATTTTCTAGGTTTATGTTGGACTGATTAAATGTAGAGCTTTGTAATGCCGTGTACAGAGGCAGATAAGTAAAACCCTCTGACACTCACCCCTCCTGTTATTGTAAAAAGAAAAAAACAAACGGTGCACAATTTTGTGTCAGCATTTCTTTTCCATTCTTCATTTTGTATGTATGTGATGCAGGAGCCTTGCTTTGTGTGCAGCTCAAACAGGGAGAAAACCACTGTAAATAATCAAAGTGTTGTTTGGTAGACTACCAAAATTTACAAAAGATTTTGAGATGTTGTGCACCATGTGGTATTTTTTTTCTTTTATTGTATGTTTTTTTTTACTGGTTCTCATTCAAAAGCAGCTATTTAGTACATTGTTGAAGCTACTTTTTGGGTAAAGTTGCAATGTTTGAAAAAAATGTATTGACATTTCCTAGTAGTTCCTCTGTCCTCTTATTTACATCTAGTTGACTGAAATGTCCCAGTATTTTTAAATTAACTTTATATTTTAAAAAAACTCAGTATTTTACTTTATTTCTTTTGCTTTTACATTTATTGCTATTGTTTAGTAAAAGATTAGAAAGAATCCAGTCAATGGGCCTCCCAGCTCATCATGATTATGTTGTAGTTTAGTAATTGTATGAGCTACTGTAGGTCTGGTGCTGAATTAATCAGGAATTTACCTTTAAGTTAAACGAGATATTAAGTATCAAAGAGGCACATGATGTATGAGCTGTTGGAATGTTAAAGATCAAATAATAATCACATTTTAGAGATCTGCTTTACTTTTAGAAAGTGGAAAAACTGAAATCAGCGATTGCAACTTCTTCTCAAATTATCCTGTATTTGTCATGTTTTAATTCTTTCTGTGAAAGATTATTTAAAAGTACTTAAAACATCTTTTCGGTCTCTCTTTATATCCAGTTAACTTTATCACATGTAAAGACTGCAGTTTTTAAAGCAAACAGCAGTTTTATTCAGTGTGTCGTGAAAACTGTTCTTTGCAATCCAATCTAAAATGTAGAATAAACAATTTTCAGAAAACTATAGTTCCAATTTGTGTGATTTATTTAAGCATGAATATGTTTTTCTCTCTTTATACCTTCTTAACAGCGTTCCTCACTTGCTGGATTCGTATAACCGAAATCTGCATTAATCAGCGCTGAGAAGCAAAACACGACGTTTCTGCAAATGCAGGACATAGACTGAGGAGAAAAAGACACATCTGGTTCATGCCTGCAAACAACACATTCTTCTAAATCAGCACTATCCTCTTTAAAGTCTCTTCCCTGTGGTGCTTTTTCTTTCCCACACTACTCTCGCGTGCATTAGCATTTCTTTACGCCTCATGAGTGGAGAACCTCCAGGGTGAACAGATGCAGCAGTTCTACAAAAACAGGAAATCGTCTCTTGTTGCTCGGTAATCTCACAGACCATTTCATCACCGTCTCTTTTAGTTCTGCATTTTTGCAGAAATAAGAACTAACTTCACTGACCTGATACAGAATGAACCAACAGACACACAAATATATCAAACTTTATATATGTGTGTGTGTGTGTGTTCATAAGTGTTCATACCTCTCAAACCTTTTCTCCCTGTTATGTGACACAAACACACACGCATATAATATTTTGAGAGGTATGAACACTTCTGCAGGTGGACGTCTGACATGTTGTCATTTAATATGCGGGCAGCAATTACTGGACGACAAACAGAGGCGACCAGGGGGTTCAGAGGTCACGATGAGCCACAGACCGCCCACTGATGTAACAACTACTCCAGATGTTCTCCTGATCTGGAACAAGAAGTCCAACCCGCAGCACTGAGCCCACATCTGCACACGGTCTGGCTTTTTCTCCTGCTATGCTTTAGCTTTACTCTGCTAACGACTTCAAACTAGACAGCTCCCATGTCTGATTTTCTGCTCTTAGTTCATGTTCGCGCTTTTGCCGTAAGAGAAATTTTCTTTCCGCATAGAAGGGATTATTTCTATTTGCGGTCAAAAGCGTGTGTGTGTGTGGGGGGGGGGGGGGGGGGGGTGCGTGTGTGTGGGGGTGTGTGTGTGGTGTGTGTGTGTGTGAGCAGTATCGTTCGAGCTGAGGAGGTTAAAAACCCACAGCAGTGAAATGCATGAATAACTTGGTGGGAGTTTCCTTTGTTGAAGCCACAGATGGGCAGAATACCCAGAAATGAACCACTCAAACCAGATTAAGATTAAGATTAAGCGTTCGAGAAATGTAAGAGTAAAACAGTAGTTTGAAAAAAATAAAATTAAATTAAAAAAGTTACCAATCACACCATTTGATTGTCTTTAAAAATGATGTAATCAAACAGAGAAATATGTAAATTCTGGTATTTATGTTAAAAAACATTTTTTGCACATAAACTCCCAGTTGCTACTCTCAATTATAATTTTAAAATAAGTACCTTTATTAGTTGTTTGGCTCAAACAACTGCAATCAGTTGCAGTTTCTCGTGTTGGGTTGATAATTCGGAAATTAAACTCAAGAGAAGCAATGCATCACAAAAAGTAAGATTCATCTGAATGTATGGGCTTGTTACTGGATTCTCCCACCATCACCCTCAAACCACAGCAATATACTTTTTCATGACAAAATGTTATTTTATTATTTTACTGAAAATAATAAAAAGTCATAATTGTTTTGCAGCATGGATCTCTAATACAGACTTCAGACATACTGCCACATTTTTATGTATTTCATTGTCCCTAGATGTCTGTTGAACTCTGCCCTGTGAGTGAACCAGATGGGAATAATGAAACCACTAAGGATTTCACACTGGGAGGGAATAAACCTTTACACCGCTTCCTAAGGTGTCAACCCAAGGTCGTTGGAGTAAGGAGAACACACACACGCACACACACACTTCAGACTACCTATTGGTTGAAGATGACTGGAAGAGTCATTCTTCAGAGGTTGTGTGTGAATTTCTTGTAGACGGTTATGCTGGTCATTGGGGCGTCTTCGGTGATTGTTGCCATTGCCACCTACTCTGACGTCTACATTCTCCACATGTGGATGGTCTTTCCTCCAGAGATTTTAATGGGAATATTGGTGGGTGGTTTTCTCAAAGTGACCTTGTTCTGAAGAAGCTGTAAGCGTCGCGTTTTCCAATCGACTGATTGTCTCTCCTGCCTCTTAAAGCTCACCATCTGTGGGATTTTATATATTGTGACACAGCACAGACCCACCAAGAAAGCCGTAAGTTTTCCAAAATACCAGTGGATTTAGTTGAGCCTCCTTGTTAAGGAAGTTTGCACTAGATGTTTTTGTTACCTTGTCCATCATCTCTGTTCTCAGGTGACCATATCATTTGCTCTCAGCATCGTGTCGACGCTCGGGGGTTTTTGGACAATTTTCATCATGCTCGTGAATTTCCACCTCTACTATGAGTACAGTAGTGATGACGAACACAACAATGATACCGACATTGCCATTGAAATACCTTGGAGATCTCATATAGCAGTAATTATTGTTTCAAAAAATGTTTTCTTGTCATTCTAAAATTCAAACTCCAAATTTATATTTGATTATAATTTGTTGTCTCATATTTATCATTGTCTTTTAGTTTGAGGACAGTTACAGATCTTTACGTCCAAAGGTTTAGCTTTGTGGCTCTTTAAAACAAAGCCCAAACAAAAGTTGTATGTATGATTGAATGATTGCCTTGGATAAATGTCAGGCTCCGTCAAAATGTCTGTCAGTTTTTATTATTATTTAAGAATGAATGTTTTTTTGTGTTTTTGAGCGTTTCGTTTTGTTTTTCTAGGTTATGGGACTGACCTTGGAGGTAGTCTTTTTGTTGTACAGCTTCATGGGTACAATTATCTTTATCACCATGTCAGTGGTTGCAGGAGCCGCCCTCCGTTCAACAAAGACTCAGGTACAACAACTCAGAGCTTTGATCTGAACAAATTAAATTAAGTCCCTGCAATGCTGCTCTACTGCATTCTGTACTGCTGTGGCTGCTTGTCTTTGTTTTTATCTCGTTCAATTGTCTTGCCTTTCATCTCAGGGATTTTGCTGAGGTGTGAGCATGTGTTGATCACTGTAGTGCACAAAACAACTCACGTCTTAGATTTCACTTCATTTTACTGATTTTCCACTAAGTCTCTTCAAAATATATTTTTTAGAGATTTTAGATTTTAGGTGTTTTTGCTGTTGGCTTTCATTTGTATTTTATTTGGGGTTTTTCATTATTTGTCATTATGTTCAGGTTTATTCCTTACAATTTAATTTCTTTTTGTGTGTCATGTTTCCTTCTTTTAGGCTCCTGAAGAGTTAGTCTGTGTTTTTGAAAAAAAAGTGTATTTATTAATCAGCTTAGGTAGAGCTTTGATTATGTTATTTTTTTCCATTTAAATAATTTGGTGTTTCGGGTTTAATAAATACTTTATAGAAAGGAATGTGTTTAGCATTTTGATAATAATCATAATTTCTTTTAATCCCCCTTTTTACTTTAGCATCAACACAATTTGGGTTGATTAATATTGTAGGTTTTTGATTGCAATAACTTCCAGTTTGCAGAGGTTTTGTTATGATCCCTAAATAAACTTTAATCACTGTAAACTGAGATATAATGATATAATACTCCATCTCTGATTAAAACTATAACTTGGGAAGGGTCTGCCTTACTAAAAACATAGGTACAGCATTAATTTCCATTAATTCAAGCATTCTTTGTCTTCTGTTTAGGCCACTGTAGTGATGACGACGACAGCGGCTGAAGCGCCAGTTGAATGAAAAGTGAAGAAGGTCCAAACTTTTGCAAATCAAGCAGCAACACAGAGAATCTCTCATCCATTAACAGATGTTTAGAGATTGTGCTTTCTTTGTGGCAGTAGTTGTAGTTGGAAACAACACAACACAAATAAATCAAATAATGTGTGGTATGACTAGTCCGGTGTCTCACTGCCAGAAACTGAAAGCCACTGTCATCAAAATAAAAACACTCAGCTTTGTCTCAAACCGCTGCCCCGAGCTGCAGACAGGAGTTGATCTTTCACTTCATCTTAATTTTGCGTCATCTGACCCAATGATTACAACAGTGGACAGATTTCCAAGAGGTAAAAACTTAATCTGTAATTCATAGTTCATTTACAAATAATACGTCAACTACGTTGACTTTTTATTAGTATTGTTTGCAGTGTAACCCTTACAATGTTTCAGTATGTAAATGCATATTATTGTACCAGAGTGTACCTAGAATTAACTGCAAAATATACAAAAGTGCAAACAAGCAGTTATCATTGCAACCACATGTTTCCAAAGATGCAACATACTTAGAAAAAAAATGATATAAGTAGCTACTAACCTCAGATGTTACAATGCACTACAGGTTTCACAAAAGACGACACAGGCAAAGTTTGGTAACAATTAGTTTTCTACAGAAATACTTGTTCCCAATTTCAGTGGAACTTCAACCACATGTTCAGTAACAAGTTGCCGTATCTGGATTTGGCCGTGGGCATGAATTATGTTCAGATCTGTAACTCTAAAGTCAACACCTGTAAGCATACTTATTCATAGTAGTCATTACAATGCAACCGGTGTTCTAGATACTAAGTAAACGCATTCCCATGTCAAAAAGTGTCATCATTTTATTGACAGTTCCGGACTTGAGTCATATTTTCTGTAGAAAAAAGAAAATCCCATAAATACACAAGCTCAGATACTCAGTGAATGACACAGAATACAAGTACAGCGGGAAGTATGAGTTTTATAACAATCAAAAGAAATAAAGTTGCAGAAGGAAAACCAGGCAGGTAGACTATTATTCTTAATGCTGCAAACAATTCCAATAAATGCTTTTCAAAGAAACTTCATTGTATAGTTGATTATTTGCTTCTTTAATTTAGAATGTTATGAAATTATATTTTCTGTGTTCCTTAACAGAAGAATAGGACAACTACTCCACCCTCCCCACCCAAAAAACAAATAAATCTAAAATGTTGTTTTTTTTTAAAGTCATAAGTGGAATGTCTCATAGTAGAATAAAAAGTCAGCGGGGCATTGTTGGCATTGTGGTCATTAGCAGAAACATTATCATTTTACATGCATGTGAGTTTTTTCTTTTTATTTAAACTTCATACAAAAATGTTATTCCACAAGTTAACTGTGGAGAAACCTGTTAAAATAAACTTGACAGGACACTGGACATCCTGGCATGTACTCAAGACTCTTTTGTTTCTTTAGGTGAAGTTTCACAGCAAACCAGCAGCACAAATGCAGAGACATGGATCACACTGGAGTAACAGAAACAGAGTCCATGAAAAGAATTAATCACATATTTTTCAGTAAAATGGACTAATAGATCACAGTACAACTCCTAGGAATAGATTTGTAATTTCAAGCATTAGCTACCACCGTATCTCTGCTTTTGGAGCTTTCCTAGATCCCAGGACAGACAATAAGCTCACTTGGTCTTACCTGTGAAATTCCAAGGTATCCTGGGATTTCCTGGAATACCTTTGAATTTCCAGGTTGTGCCAAAGAAAAGAAGGATGCAGCTTAGAAGTTTTAAACTCCCTCTATTTTCTTTACATTTTTCTTTCAAGAAATCAGAAAAGTGGTTACGGTCAATTCTTCTTTGAGCTTTCCAGAAGATCTTGAAAGCTATTCCTTGAGACAATTTGATTTATGCATGTCAGTAACTGACAGTTTCTGTATGTGCTTCAGAAATAAGGCAGGTAGAAAACCAGAAGATAAACAGAAGGGTACAAGCAGAAGGTACAGCAATAAACTTGTTTTTAGCAACACTTCCTTCTCCACTCCCCCCCAAAAACAACACAATCTGAAGTTTTCCTTTTGTTTTTTTTAAACGAGAAATATCCCAAAAATATGAAACAGACTGCATGAGTCAGTTCATATTCTACACTGACTTAGATTTTGAGTTGATAAGCACCACCTTGTTTGTGCTAAATTAACAGCATATGTTTTGTGAACATAGTCTTTCGTATGGATTCAGCTGCATAAATACAAACATCTGTGTGACAATCTAATATAAAATGCTAAAACTGTTGCTTGACTAAGCCGCCATGTAATTTCTTAGATTTTGAAGGACTTGCTATGCAAAAAAAAACCCCAAAAAACTTTCTGGTAACAGCCAGAAAATTTAGCAAAGTGGCTTTTATGTTCTCCATGACTGGGGAAGCTTTTGTAGACATATTTTGTTTTCTCGTGAGAGCAATAAAGTCTTCAACACACTGCAGAAACAAACATTTATGCTGAATTGTAGCTTTAGTTTAGAATCAAGAAAATAAAAAATTGAAGCTGCCAATTTCCCAGCATCTGCTCTACAGGTAATAGCTTACAACATCTCTGCAGTTCTCTCTGCAGTTCCATGTCAGATAACAAATGCATTCTTATGCATGTCAGAGGACTTCAAAGAAAAATAGCTGCCAAAAATAATTGTAATAGTAGAAATATAAATTAAAAATGTTACAGGACAGATTTATTCTAATCTGGGGAAGATCAGAATAAAAAGTGGCTAAAATGCCTTCATTGCTACATGTTTGCATTGGAGTCCAAAGAATGCCACAAACTGAGAAAAGTGAGGTCATCAAAATCCGACACAAATAAGCTGTCAGTTTTCCTTCTTAGGAATTTACTGTGAAAATGTCAATCAATTCTCACTTTGTGACCTTTAGTCCTTTATTACAGAGGACTTTTGCAAACCATTTCCAAGCGCAGAACGCTGATGAACACGCATGTGCTCTGTGACACGGTATTGGCGTGAGAAGGTCATCGGGCAGCAGGGGCAGGGGAAGGGCCGTACGCCAAGGTGGCTCCGCACATGTCTGTTCAGAGAACCCCTCTGGCTGAAGGAGCGATCACACAAAGAGCACTGGAAAGGCTGGTGACTGGGAGATGACAGATGAGCTGACCTATCTGTTGGCATGCAGGCTGGACGGGTGGAAGGTATGCAGACAGATGCAGTGGATGGCTTTGAGGCTCGATCGCATTCTGGTTCACCAAGAGGTGAACAAACTGGAGTGGAGCTGCTCTTAGTCTCATGCTCTTCGGGTTTGGAAACCTCCATCACACTAATGTTTTGTGTAACGCAGGGTCCTGCTTGGGATAGTTTTATATCAAATGGGTTTCTTTTTTTTACGTCTCTCTGTCCATCAGCCTCATCTAACCTCTCAGCTCTGGCTACAGAGGAATCTTGATTTGCTTGTGCATCATCAGGACTCAGGATTGCAGCTGAATCCATTACAACAAACTGCTTTTCTTCTTTGTGATGTCCATGTTGACAGGACACAGGCAGCTCATCATGTTTGGTGTTTATGTCTGGCTGGTCTTCTGTCTCTATTAAAAAGTGTTGACTCAGTGATCTTTTACCTGAAAAAGGAGTATTAACCTCATCACCTAACTCATTCGAGTCAGGAGACAAGCAGGGCTTGAGGTGTTTGTGATTTAAATCTTGAAGTGATGCGTCGTCACATGGTTCACCCTGATGGGAAAGATGCCGGTGATTTAGCTGACCAGAGGTTCTTGTAGTGCCAGAAAAGTTGTGGTCCAGAGGTGCTGTTACAAAGGAACATGGCTCCGTGTTTTCAGAGGATGAGTTTTTTCTACGTTCCACCACTTTGCCACATTTCGAAGCAGAGAAACTGTCAGTGACATCAGTCAATCCAGATTGCGATGTGATAAATCTGAATTTGGTTTGTGTGCTACTGACTTTGTCAGAGATATCCTTTCTGCTTTTGTCGTCTTTGTGCATCTTTGTGTACCAGTCTGTTATAGGTCCAGATGTCTTACAGTGATTTGTCTTCATATCTGTTACATCAAGACAGATACTGGAGTAACTGGGTCCCCTTTTCACTTCCACCTCAAGACATTCTTCGCACGGAGAAGCACTTCCTGTGTCTTCAACCTCCATGAGAAGTGAAACTGCAGCTCCCTGATGTATTGATTGCTCTTGTGTTGAAGTTGTCAACAATGTTCTCTGACACTGACAACAATCAAAGTGTTGATTTTTGGAGGGAACAGGATCATAATCTCTTTCAATTTGGTGCTTTAAGCCTCTTCTTGAGACATTACTCTGGACCACATACTCTCCATAATATTCTGTGTGACTTTGCAAAGAATCCAGACGGGCGGTCTGATTGTTATTGTTCATATTATTTGATGCATTCTCGCAGGTGTTATTGAATTTAAATAGATGCACATTGCTGCTGTTGTAATCCTTGTCCACCTTGTGGTCAGTAGCACAGCTAATGTGGCTTATAGTGCTTCTGGGGTCCTGACTTTGTGCTCCATTTTGATCTTTGCACTCAGTGGTAATTGCTTCCACACTGTTGTCATTGCCTATGCCTGATGAGAGTGAGAAGTCGGCGATTTTGGAGGGAGGCTGGACAAAAGACTGAGATGCTTCACTGTGAGGCCACACAGAGTCTTCTGACTGCTGCAGGACAGCCACTCTGCTGCTGTGACAAATGACAGGCACCGCCTCAGAGCATGGGGATGGCGACGATGACGGAGATGAAGAGCGTCCCTTTCTTTCCTTAGACCTCCTGAGTAGGTCTTCCTCTGGGGTTCTCTGTCTCATGTCTGGTTTTACAAAGTTTGGTGAATGATGCACATCTACTCCAGGTAAGTCATGCATCAGAGTTTTCTCATCTTTGGACCTCAAAGATTTCCGTTGGGTCGGCGATGTCACCTGTCTGTCGTCACCTGCATTGTCTTTGTCAATACTTCCAAGAATACCGAAAGTATTTAAATCATTGAAAGCAGCCAAGTCAGTTCTTGTGTGACCATTCACATGTTGATTTTTGATTTTTCTTTCATCATTTTCAGGACTGTCATCGGAAGTGACCCGGGGTTCTTGAAATATCTCATTAAGTAATGAATGTCTAGTTGCTTCATGGCTTTGAAAATTACATGCTGTGGTTGATGACGGAAGGTGTTTGAAGGTCTCAAAATCAGTTTTACAAGAATCTTCTGTCTCTTTAAATGAGTACATTTCAACTATAACGGGAGCATTTTTATCATCCTCAGCATTCCCTTGGATCTGCAGCCAGTTCGCTCTCAGAGCATCCTGCAGTTCTTTCATCTGCATTTGGCAGGCAGCAGAGAGCAGTCTGTAATGTTCCTGTTCGCTGAGAGGGCATGGAAGAACGCCAGTGTAAATGTAGTCCAAAAGGGAAGGTAGCACAGAGTCCGAGAGACTTGGATCGTGTAGTTCCACCAGGGCACCCGATGAGGACAGGATGGATGCCAACACTGGGCTGGAGGCTGCCAGGATACACCTGGCAGAGCAAAGAGTCAAGCTTAGTTTAGTGCTGTAAAGAAGTATTTGCCCCTATGTAGCTTTGCATTGTTATTTGAAATATATTCAAACAACTTTTAATATGACAGAGACCCTGATTCAATACAAAAAGCCATTTTTCAACCATGATTAGATTCACTAAAGGCACAGAAGAAATAGAAATGGCAATTATTAAATCATGAATTAGTTATGATAAATCAGGTTTTAGGAAAGCTGAATTTAATTCACAAGCCAATGAAATGTCTAATTATAGCCAGACAAGTAGAAGTAACAATCTATCTGTTCAGTAATAAGATGCTGCATATATTCATTATATATTATATCATCTCTTCTACCATCATCTGTTTGGGTAGCAGCATCAGAGCCGTGGATTTATAAAGGCTGTTAAAGAAGGCCGGTTCTGTTCTGGGGACTACTAGCAACATTATTATGATTATTGTGCACAGGAGTCTTCATCAAATTAAGGAAATTATTGGCAACCCTGAGCTTCCTTTTTATGAAGCTGCTATGAAACCAAAGAGTGTCTTCAGTCAGAGACTGCAACACAGACTGCTACAGGAGCCTTTCCTCCCAAAGCTATCATCATCTAAAGCAACTCCTGAAGAAAATTGTGTCTGAGTAACAACAAAATGTGATTTCTGGGATTAAAAAAATATTTTTCAATTTGAGTGCTGAAAATAAATGAAGAAATCAATTAAATAGAATCTCTGCAAGAACTTAAAGTTGACAAAAACATCTCAAAACCAATATATTATCCTCTACTCCATCTAAAGAACTTTTAAAGAGAAAAAGAAACAGTCCTAGAGAGCTAGATGTCTGTAAAGGATTTTTTAAGGTGTTGGATCTTACCACAATGACAGCTATTATCCACGAATGAAGCAAATATGTAACTATGAACAACCTTGCTACCGGTGGCCTACCATCTTATATGGAATATCAGAAATAAAGCCAGATCACAATCTTCACACTGGCAGTTCAACTTGATGGTGGTAATCCGGTTGTCTGGAGTTGATGCTACTTCTGGAAAACCAAAACCCCTCATGGTTCCTTAATTGATGGAACCATAAGTTCTGCAAGGATGCTCTGCTAGAAAAATCCATTTGTGGTATTGAGTTCAAAACTGCTCGGGTTGTGCAGCACAACAATCATATAAAGCATAACTCCAACTCCATTTCTCAATGGCTTTAGGGGAAAAGACAATCGATAAAGGGTTTTAAAATGTTCTGGTCCAGAATGATTCAGTCGCAATGGCATTATGAATGAGCTGAAACTGACTGTCCATTTTCAAAAAGTCAGTAAATTTGGCTGAAAGACAAAAAAAAAAAAAAAAAAAAAAAAGGCAAGTGGGACTAAACTCCTCCATAGTGAAGTAAACAATGTTACAAATGCTTCATGTTAATAAAAACTAATGCCATACATTGTTACTGCTGTCAATGATGGCTTAAGCAATTATTATGCTTAGAGAGGTGTGACTTTGTCAAATAGGATCTGGGCGACTGGATAGTATTTTCTCTCTTTATCATTTTTGTAATTGAGCTGAAACATTTAAGTGCAACAAAAAAACAAACAAACATCTAAAACAAAAAACATCTGTAAGGGGAACTTACGCTTTCATAATCTTTTGACATATCTCTGAATATTTTTGCTCTTTTGAAAATGTTGCTGTATTTGTGTGTAGTAAAACGATGCTCACCTGTGTGCATGGTACAGCTGATCTGAGTTCTGCCCCTGCCTGAGAACACAGTCACAGAATATGCCCTGATCCCTCTGATGGTTCAGATATGCCAGCAGTGCAGCTGCGTGGGTGACGTCCTGCGGAGACGATGTCGCCTGAAGAATCGGCTTTGAGAAAAACAGATTTCATCACGATCACTATATTGCTTAGAGAAAATCATTATCATTGCAGCTTTGTAGAATTAACAAATCAGCATCTATATTATTAGGGGTAAATTGTTCTTTAAATAATAATGGACAAAAAAATACAATGAAAACAGTAAGTATCACTGCTTAGCAATAGATTTTATATTGTAAGACTATTTCTTCTGGAGCTATGTACCTGAAAATGAATGTGATGGGTAACCTGAAAACCTAAAGCTCCAGAAGTTAAAAAATAAAGAGAAAGTCGAATGTTTCAGTGAGCAATAATAGTTTGCGCATAATATTATCTGAAAATGCCAGTGGCTCAGTAAAAGCAAAATATGCCACCAAATTATTCTTATTCGAAAGTCAAAGAAATCAATGAATGAGCCATGAAAATAGTTATCCAACATATTTAGATCTTTGGAAAAATAAAAAAGTAACAAAACAATGTAGGAAGGAGAAACTTGCATGAGAAATCTGTTTTTAACAGTACATTAATTAGTGCTCTATATTTCTCTAATAATTTGGGTGAATAAGAGCAATATCTTTCACATGCTTCAATATTCAAACAATTTGTTAGTCATTCTTAATAATGAAGTCAGACTCAGAAAATAAGCAAACATAAGCAGGTGTACTTAGAGAGTAAAATAACCACATTAAATAAAAGCGTTAAACTCCAGCGTTGTGCAAACCAAAGCTTCCATAACTTTTACATGCAAGATATTAGTAAAGACCTAGCGGCAGTACAGACTGGCAGAAAGTGAATATGGAAATTAAAAACCCTTACCTTCATAATACGCCAGAAGACGAACAACAATCACAGTCTGCCTTGCTTTTGGTTAAAGTGAGAAAAGAGTCTTCATTGCGGATATATAGTCCCACCCTACTTTATCTGCACTGGGCCTCATGTGGAAAACAATCACACGCTTTTCATATTGGGGTGAGCCATGACGTTGTTGCTCAGGTGCTTATATGGAGTGCTGGCCTGTGATGTCAAGCTCTCCATGTCCTGTTATAGAGGGGCTGACACCATCCTGCAGGGAAGCAGCCACAGAACTGGAGCAAGTAGAACCAGTATTCCTGCTTGCGCCACAAAAGCACAGCAGGAAGTCCATTTTATTTAAACGATATAGATATATGGTTGCTCTTTAGGGTCATTTCTGTCAATAGACAGTCTGCACTGTCTATATTTGAATCATAGTGCACCAAAAAGAGCTCAAACTCAGAAATATTAAACCTGGTTGTGTTGGATTGAGGTCAAAGGTGACTTCCTAGAATATCCTGTGATTATTTTTTTAGTATTTGTTGCAAAGATCAAAACTACTTAATTCAGAGTCTTTCCTAAGCTCTTATTCTGTATTATGGAAGTTCGGCCACCTTAGAGAGCGCTGATGACTCTTAGGACGATTTCTATCTAGTTCACTTCTGCACACAGAAGCTTCTCCAGTGTCACGAGCCGGTTTCCCTTCAGCTGACGCTTTTGTTGACAACCCCATACAAAGCCATTTCTCCACCCTTTCACCATGTGCTCGTCACGGCTTTTAATCCCTCCCCCGCTCTAAAGTTACAGCCACACCTCCTGCTATCCACAGGCCTGTAGTGCACTTTCCCTGACAACTGCGCAATGGAAATACTACTGCAGTACACTGGGCTGCGTTGCATCGAGACAGATCTAAATAGTGTGTCTTGTGGCTCACATAGATGAGATAATGCAACATATTTATGAAATATGCATCAAGTGATGGTGTTGCCTGTTTAATGTGCAATAAGTCGATGAACGAATGAAACAAAATCCGTTGTAATTTTGATCTAGCAGTTTGACAACAATGAGATTCTGTGACATATTGCAGAAAACTTCATTGTATTTTTGTTGTATGTTTTGTTTGTGGATGCAAAACATCAGTCTGCTGTTGTCATGATTAGAGAGGAAACAGCTCTTGGTGAATCTAATTCTCAATCATTACTACATTAGACTGATCAGCTATAATAGTTTGCATTTCACTTTTTTAGCCAGTTAAACAAATATGTAAGATTTAAATGATCTGTAAATGACTGTATTTTTTTCTTCTCATTTTACACTATCTCTATTTTCAGCTGGATTATTGAGTCTCACAGTGGCCGTTCTGTAAATTATTGTTTTAATTGTTCTTAATGCAAAGCTTGTAAGAGAAATGTAAAAAAAAAAAAAAAGGGATTCCATTTATTTAAAATAAAAATGCAAATTTACTTTTCGGGACACATTTAATTATGATGTTCATCAAAGTATTTGAGAAATATTTAATTCCAGAACACTCTCTTTTATTCTGTAATAAAGAAAAATAAAAAAAATAATTAAAGCTTATACCATACACTTTTCTCCTCTATAACATAAAAAAAATATTTTATTTTTTCATATAATCAAGGAATCAACGTCAGAGAAAATTAACTTAAAAGATAAAAACGAGAGAAAATAAATAGAAAACCGATTGCAATCTGAGATAAAAAAAAAACAAACAAATAATATTACCAAGCAAATATACACAATATTCCATTACTTGAAATAGATTTAAGTTTTAAAGTGTCAAATAACTAAAACAGCATGTTGCTCCTCCAAAGAAATGCATGCAAGTAGTGGGCAATTTGCCTCAGAGCAATTAGCTGAGGTGTAGTTTGATCTCCTGTACATCCGACAGGCCTGTAAGTTACAAGCCAAGACTGAGACATTCACATTCTCTGAGAAGGTCTTTGAATACAACCACTTATTTAGCAGGTCAGACCAATATGCCCTCTGTCACAGAGAGTAAGTTCAACATGTACTGGCTCCAAGTGTTTCCATTCACTGAGTGTTCAGTGACATAGCTCACGTACTGAACCAGTGGGGTGCAGAAGAGCTGCAGCTTCTGGAAACAACATATTCTGGATCAGTACAGAGCAAGAGTTTAGTATCTACACAACTTAGAGAACAAATTTAATGAGAAAGCACAGCAAAAGATACAATACCAGTCCACTGCACCTGTTAACTCTCCGTTGTCATTTTTGCAAGGCGCTGCAGCATTCGAGCTCTTCCAATTATGACCAAAAACAATTGTAGAGTTTGTGAACCTAATATTTTTACTGTAACTAAATTTTATTGCCAAATTTACCAAAGTTGTCCTAATCATTCATTCTAGAAAATAGAGCAAATGTTATTAGTCCTGTGATGAAATAGGACTAATAACATTTGCTGACCCTTTTGCATACATGAACCAAATAACTGCAGCAAAGATTTTCATTAGGATACAGAACTGATCACAAACATTTGAGTGAATTTTTTATGACATTTTTGTTGCAAATAAAAAAATAAGCGCAACTAAGTCTGCAGTCTTTATCGTTTGGAGAAAATTAGCTTTTTGGACAAATTCTTCGAATTGAAGGCACTCGACTTATAGTAGAAGTAAGAACCATTTCAGTCTGGAACAACCATTTCTGCTCCATCACTTAGTGGTCCTGATCCATAACAAATAAAAGCAAACAAGCACACTCAGCTGAGCAGTGAGAACATACCAGCCCCAACACACTCAGTCCACCGCGGGACTCCAGCTGTGGACTGGCTGTCCAGTTCCCACTTTAACACACGTAACACCATCTCCGTCTTGCTCCCATTCTGTATTACTCAGACATCCAGAACACAGCCATCGTGACAGCTAATCTTAGCTCCATGGCACGGCATTGTCCACACTCGTCCCTCCATAACTGACCATTCACACGTACACACACACACACACACGCACGCACACACCCACGTACACACACACACACACACACACACACACACACACACACACACACACACACACACCACACACCCACACACACACACACACACACACACACACACACACAGAGGAACCCAGAATAGCACCGGGTCTGGTTGCTGCCAAGAAGGGCAGGATTCATTAAACACTACAGAGAGTTTAGCAGTGAGGGAGGGTTTAGTTGGTCCGGTGATGAACACATGTCCAAATTGTTTGTTTGTTTTCTAAAAGAGGACCTTTGTTACGTATTTGACCCCTTTGTTACGTATTTAACCCCTTTGTTAAACTGCTATCTCCTCCCTCTCAGCAGTAAATACATATTCACAAACGCATCTAGCAATATGCATATTTTGGATACTAATTTTTTGTTAATATTTATAAAATAACTATGATGTAATAGTATTACAAATTCATATTTTAAAAACTGTTATCAATATTTAAAAATTATTATGATGGAGCAAACAAAAGAACTAAAAAACCTCATCTGTTCGGCATAATTCAACAAAGAAAACACTTGATTTTTAAATATAACTCATAAGAAACAAAGAAAGCTTACATGTAGGATATTAATTGACTTAAAAAAAACTTATAAAATGAGAGCCGATCTTTAGTGCATGTAATAAAAGCATGTTGAAGTAAAATAAATATTTAATTAGCTCATTAAGAGAGAAAAAGAGGAGACAGCTGTTGATTTTTAACACATAAGTTATTTTTTTGGTTTTTGCAGAGTTATGAAATCAGATAAGAGTCTGAAAATAAATCCATAGACCAGTCACATGCAAGGTTTCCATCTTCAGTGAGGTGATTCTTAGCTCCATCAAGATCTCTCTCACTTTCTGTCCCATTAGCATGAAATACTGTCTGAGTCAGATCCCAGGGAGCTCTGCTATCAGTTCCTCCATCTCCAGGAAATCGTCTCAAGTTACAACCTGAATCCCTGCAGCTATTTTCCGTCTGCCATTTTTTTCTGAATGAGACATTAAACAGCATTTTATGAACTGGAGTAGGAGGAACAATTCCCTCTGATTTGTCATAATCACAAATAGTCACATTGCTCGCTTCAGAGTCATGTTTCGGACTGGTTGGACTGGCTGACTCAACACTCGTTGCTCCTCTTTGCCACGCTACCTGCTGCCCCTCTGATTGTCTTTTTTTACATTTCTCTTCCTCCTTGAATCTCCTTCCTGGAGTTATTCTGCTCTTCCACCTCCTGGATCTTATTCTCCACCTTGAATTTTCTTTTGATGTCTCATCTTTCAAACTTCTGCAGGAAGAGATTGCAGGCGATCGTGTCGTTCCACCTACTTTTACAATGGGAGTGGACTGAGAAGGAGGAACAAAGTCAAAATCTTGTAGAGCTATAGAATACCTTTTAGCGCACAGATTGCTTTTTAGTTTCTGTTTGTCAGGCGTTGAATGTGACACACTCGAGGCTTCGTTCTTTACGTGCTGAACATTCATCTCATCAAACCGGAAGCAGGAATCTGAAGGTGATCTCCCGGTGTGTGTACGAGTTGTTGCTGGGTGTACAAATGAGTCACCGAATAAGTCAGCTGAACAGTCGTAACCGTCCACTTCATTTTGCTCTTCTTGATTTTCAAAAGATAAAAAACCTTCATCATATCTCAGGATCATGTTGTCGTCAGGTCCGCTCAGGCGGTCGCCACAGCTCTTCCAGTCTCGATCAGATGAAATATGTTTTCCCTCTCCATCTATTGTTGGCGTATTAGTGATATCTTGGAGGTGGTCTGTGAAGATTATCTCTGCAGCATTCAGACAAGCAGAAGCTGGTTCAGCTGACTGGTTTGCGATTTTCGCAAAGGTCCCTGTCGTTTGTTTCTCATGTTGCAAATTTAAATTTGTCGTTTTACTGAGAACATTTAAATCTTTGTCTTGTTTGCACAAAAATTCGGACAGACTTTCAGAGAAAGGCAAATCATCCCAAGCAAATGAGCTTGATAAAAAAGTTTGGGACTGATGTGAGATGGGAAGCTCCTTCGAATTGAAACTGCAGCTTTTGTACTTCGGCTCTGATGGACTAAAGCAAGTTTTCACACTGAAGCTTTTTCCAACACTTCCTGTAGAAGAGGAGATTGAATCCCCAGTAAAAGATGGATGGCTGTGAAAGCTGAACTCCAGCTTCAGAGGAGCTGGTCTCTCCTCTGTGCCTGGATGGTTCTGCGTATGAACTCTCTGCTCAGGAAGTGGCACTGCGCTGCATCCTGCCAGTCTGCTGCTGTGATCTGCGCCATCCTGACTGGATCCTTCCTCCTGCTCTGCTGAGGACGTCACCAGTCCAAGCGACTGCTGCCACGGAGAGGTGGAAGTAAATGACTGGTTCTGATGTTGGAAACTGGGATGGAAACAAAAACACTTTCACTTACGTGTGCACAAATGTTGTATATTAAAAATAAAATGAACGAGATTCTAAAGGCTTGAATATTTCTGTACAGGAAAAACATGATTTCTGTCTTTTCTTACCGAAGCAGCGCCTGGGACAGATGACCTGAAGAATACAGAGTGACGTTTCTGAGGGTGCTGCTCGGAGAAGGGCCAGAAGTCAGCAGCAGGGGGGCTGCAGACTGTCTGCCGGGATCGGCAGACTCCGCAGCTCTTTGTAGGAGGCGCTGATAATAACTGAGCACGGTGCAGCCCGTCAGGCCTGAGCCTGGGGGAAGAATCATCTGACTGGCAACAAACTGGGCTCTCCCTCCTCTGCCAGACTCAGTTCCATCATTTTCTTCGAGCCAGGGTTCCCGTTCTGTTCCGCTCACCTGAACACACAGACAGACAAAGGAGCAGAGATCAAGTCAATCCACGTGGCCATAGTTTCACTTTTAATTCAATTCTCTTATTCAAGTAAAAATCCAACATAGAAACTTGAAACTTTGATGTGGAGCTAAAAAAATCAAAAAAGATAATAACTGATATTATACATAACTTGGTTCGCAGATACAGAAAACAATTTCTGATTAATAAGTACAGGAAAACTTCCTTCTGTTTTATAGTAATAAAATATTTTATGATGTGCATAACATGTAATAATTATAAGTAAAGATCTGTGGAACTGATTTAGAATTAATGCAGATAAAATTCCCTTCATAAAACTTATTTTCCTTAATCTTAATATTCAGAAGGTTTTGAAATATTTTGTACTTGAAAAATCCAGATTTAATAATAACTATTATTATTATTAATGATGTGCAAAACATAACCTGTTTTTTTATACAGAGGAATCACTACAGATTTAAAATGTGAACAAGCCTTAAGTAGAAGATATTATAGCAGCATTATTGTAATACCTTTGCTTTTTTTTTCATTAGTTTAGTTAATCTTTAAAGAATAAAAATTAGCTTCATATTATATTTATTGCTCATTGGTTGAGTCTTAATATATTTTAACCCAGAGAAATATACCTTCATGTTTCTTTTTATATGAAAGAGATTGGTCAATGTAAAAATAAAAATAACTAAATATGACATTCCATAACAAAAAAAACAATTTAACTCTATTACCTTTATACCAAAGATAAAGTATCTACCGAGGAAACAATCTTCAACTGCTTTTGCCAACAATGTGGATCTTGCTGATGGTCCGATGGGTCCCTCCGAACTTTCAGCTAACCTACAAATAATAAAATAAAAACCCAGCAGATTTTCTCAGTATAGGTCCTAGTGTATTATGCATCATCAGTTGACTCTTATCCATTGTTATCTGCTTAACAATGTCTCCTTTGAATCTTCTTGCTCATGATAACTAACAAAAATATAGACAATGAATTAGATTACATTGAGCTCCACAGTGAATCAAATCACTGTTGTCACTTGAATGCAACATAAGGTGGACTGCTACATTTGAAATGCAAATTCTGCATGTCAGTAATTGTATTTGGCCTGTGTGATGGACTTTCACTGCCCACGATTACACACATGGGTTGGGATTTAATAATACTTCATATTTATCATCATGTGAAAGGGATAAAATACATGATGTGCATCAAAATGTGATCACAGAGAATTTGCTGTAACACAAAGAGAACATTCAAAGTGTGCAGAGTAACCTTAGGCTGGGATTCAAACCCAAAACCTTTCTACTGCAAGGCAACAGAGCTACCAACTGTGCCACTTTGCATGCAAAATAAGACATACATTTGTTTTACCTCTGTAATCCACTTGCATCGATGCCAAAAAAGGAGTTCAAACTATTTCCAAACACTGTTACATTAAATGTGGATGAATCCCGGATCACTCGCAGTGAGAGACGGTATCTGTAGTCCACCTGATCCTTCAGACACCTGTAGTCACACCTGAAGCACCTGTACCTAACAGAGAGGTCACGGGACTGTGGATTAAGGTCTGCAGTACAGAAGTACACAGAAATTCAACATAACCATGTTGAATTTCCTCTGAAAGAACATTTTTCAACCAGAGTTAAAACTTATTCTGTTTGTACCTTAAGGTGTCTCTCTGTTCAGCATCGATCCGGGAGAAGCAGCCTTTGCAGCAGGGATAAAACACACAGGCATCTTGCAGAGACAACACCGTACAGCCCACCAGAACCCGCCGGACAGACATCAGTTCAACCCGGAGGAACCAACTGATAAGCTAGCTAACGTTTAGCTAACTCCTTAGCATACAGGGAGGCCGATTTAACAGAGTTAAAGAAACGCGGGAAATATGGAGCTAGCCAGCAAAAACATGGAGATATTTGTTTTCTCCTAGATTTTCTTTCTAAGAGAAAAGCGTTTTCGAATGAAAAGCGCCACAGACTGTTTTGGTTGGAATTTCTTCTTCGACTAATCATTTGCAGACTAACTGGATTCATTACTGCCACCTTTCGGACGATGCTTAAAATTGCAGGTTGTTGTGAAAATGATTACTTCTTGATTTCCCTCAGACGTTCACTTATCCTGAATTGAAACGTTTCCCGGTTTATTCAGTTCAATTTGAATAAAACTGGGACTGAATTATTCTATATCTGATGCACACATTTTAGATCAAATTTATGTTTTCACAACAAATAGGCTGCATTAAATGCTGTTCATCAAAAAAGTATCTCCAGATACAGATGTATTTCTGGACATATAAAAACTTTTTGTATAACAAATATTATGTTATAGTAGCTGCTTTTCATTCAGGTCATATTACAGATCCTTTTTTTTTATCTCCATGCAGCCCATAAACCTGAACACAAGTTTTATATGTGTTCAGTTCAATAAAAGACAAGTTCAGTTTTAATGGCTGCAATTGCTGTGTGCAGTGGGAGAAGAATATTATAAGTAATACGTTTTTCAATAGTAATAACAACCTTCTAAGATTAACATTTTGTTTGGTGAGATTTTAAAAAAAATAGTACATTTTATTTGGGTTTAATTGAGACCAACACAAAGCACTAAACTAGATTTGAAGTGCAAAGAAAATGACTCAAGATTTTAGTAAAATCTTGAGACTAGAAACATATTAAAGGGCATTTTAGCCTCTTTTACTTTGATACCTGTAAATAATATCTAGTGCAGCATGTTTCCTCCAAATGTGTATGTTCTGTGTAAGGTCACAGAGCTCTAACAGAAATAATCCAGCATCATAAAGTCCAAGGAACACCTGTAAGCATTTGAATACCTACACAGGGATGGCAAAGAGAACATTAAATAGTAAAGCAGCCATAGTATCTCTGGAGGACTTGTAGAGCTCCACAGCTCAGGTGGGTGAAACTGTTAACAGAACAACCCGCACACTCCTCAAATTTATCTTCAACGGAAGAGAGCCAAGATTGTGAAATTCGTGACAGAAAGTCAGAAATAATTACGTCTGCAAGAAGGAACAAGGTGTTCAAGGCACCTTGATCCTTGAACATGTGGAACAAGGTGCTCTGGTCACAGAAAACTACAATTAAACCTTTTAACTTATATGGCAAACTCCATGAGGGAAAACTAACATGAAACATGTCTGTGGCAGCATCATGGCAGGTTCAGCAGGGCTGATGGAAACACAGAAGTACCTAAAAACAGAAATGTGGGGGGTACTTGTAAGGACAAATAATTCTTCAAATTCAGCACAAATATAGATATATGTAGCTGAATGGGTTTTAGCTCCTTAAAGCCTTTTAGCAAGAAGTTAATATATTTTTGCTGTAATTGTCATACTGAGTTGGCATCATTATGAGTGCTTCTTGTGCTTTTGACGTGTTGTGACAAGCAGTCGCTTGTTACGCCATTCTGTTGATTCTGCGCAACTTCCTGAATCTGAATCTTTTTAAAGAGGAACTTTGTTTTCAGAGCAAACGGGAACAATGACAGCAGATAATACATGTGGTTAGTTTAGTACGCAACATTTAAAGGTGAGGATTTTCTTGTTTGTTTGTTTATTAATGCACATGTACTTTTCGTGTGTTGCTCCAGTGACACATACAAAAACACTGTAAAACACCAGCAATTCTTGTCTGACTTTTGGTTTTACAGTCCCGCCTCAAAACTCCTGGCAACCCCTTCAAAATGTTTCTGGAGGCATCTCTGAATATTTAAACATGATAAAATAAAAAAGATTTTCTTTCGATAAAGCACAGGCTTTTCTTTTCTGAACATTTATAACTAATAGCATTTTTCTGTTTGAGTTGTTTGTTAAATGTGCATTACTTAATTAGAGTTACGCTCAGAAAATATTTATTTAATAGAATGCTCAGAACAAAATAAAAATATATGTATATATATTATGAATGATTTTGTTTGATAATACAAAACTTTATCTTCGCTACGTTTTGATGAAATTGTAATGGAGATATTTACTGCTCTATTTCAGATCATCTCTTTTGCAATTTAAGAATAAAAAAATAGGTTTCTTCACTATTTCACTGTGTCAGACATATACTTACTTATTTTGGTAGTGTCTATTGTCACATACCAATGACAGTTTCATCAGTTGGTTAGACAAGTGACAATTTAATTATATATCTTGATGAGACACAGGTACTTTGAGGAAGGGGGAATTTCGTCAGAAAATGATATTCATGTATTTCAGAAAAATCATAATAATAACCGTCCACATCAATATGTGGACAGTTAGATAAAAAACCATGCCAGTTGCCAAGTTTGAGGAAGCACTGTGACTAAGATTCTACTGTAGCACAACAAATATAACAAGCCAAACTAGTGTAGCACATCCTCAATCAAGACAAACAAGGCATTTAGTTATTGACACAGACATACTCACAGGTTTGAAAACTGTCAATGAATCGTAAAGATCAAGTTAAAAAACAAAAACACACATGCCATATTTTATGCAAATCCAAATTTCACCAACTGGATAATTGAGACAGACTTTAAATCATGCTTTTGTAATTTGAAGAATAGATTTCTGCATTGCTCGTCTTTCTGTTGTTTCTTAAAGGACTGTAGCTCCACTGCAGCTAAATCAGATTTAGACTCTAAAATGCTGTCAAAGAGGCGAGCTCGCCGATCTTAAATTCTCTTCACTGGCAACCTCTCCATTTTAGAGTAGATTAGTGACACTTTTACTATTCTTAATGGTTTTAGTTCGACATGTTTGCAAGAAGCCATCCAGGTACTCAAAGCCTCTGATGTTCAGGGGAAAAGTCTTTTGTTGGTACATGTGAGAGCGAGAACACGAGATGAAGCATCTTTCTCCTGTTTGCAGCCATCAGCTGTGGACAAGATGGCAGCCGAGAGATTGGCTGTTTAAAAAATAACAAACTAACAATGTTAAAGTTTATGTTTATGTATTAGCTCTTATAGTTTACCATAGTTTTTTATTTTATTCATTTAAACTTTTGTATCTACTTGTACTGTTTAAGTTATTAATAATGATTATTAATAAATTAATGATCAATACAATCATTCTTGAAAAATAAATATTTTCCTTTTGCATTTTATTTATGTTTCTGAATGTTCACTACATTCAGAAACATATAGTGTATCTTTAACTTTAACCCTTATAAGTGCTATTAATTTTCTCCTTTAAAGATGCTCATATATGCAATGTCTACTTGCAAATCTACATGATTGTATTTCTACAGTTTCTCATCTTTATTGGTTGATTATCTCACTTTTAAAATTCACAATTTTACAGCCAGTATAATTATTTGTTTTGCGTGATTTGATCCTTTTTGACATGGGCCTCTTCCGAGGGTTAATGTCCGTCCTACTTTTAACCTCTATGAAGCTCTTTGTGCTTCACCTGGCTGTATGAAAAAGGCTCTATAAATAATGTTTGTTTAGCTTGACATCTTGCATTTGCATTTGTCAGATTATTGATGAACGCATCCTCTTCTCACAGCCACAGATGTTCTTCTAATTTACATCTATGGAAATAGAAATTGAAAAAAAAAAATCCTATCTCCTTTTTTCTGACTTATCCAAGTCAAATGCCGTGAAACTTTAATGCAATTCCTGCAGTCAAAGGCAGCTGTGCACAGAAATGTGCACTTCATCTGATCACAAAGGTTTTCAATACAGAGTAAAGCCACAAACTTCGCACCTTCAGCATTGTGACTTTTTCTGTATGAAGTTGAGAAATTCAGTGAAACTTGAAAGGAAAAACAAGGATGAGCTGAAACGATCCGTTGATCTGTGTTACTTTCATCTTCCTGACAGGATGAACAGAGGTGACCAGGACTGCATCATCCTTTGAAAATAAAATATATATTTTTCAGGATTTATAACATTAAATGCATGTGACCTACTGACAAATATTTTTACAAATGTAGTAAAAAAAACAAAAAAAAAAAACATGTATATTCACAGCATAAAAAATGACATTTATACATCTTTTTGAAATTGTTATATCTTTCCATAGATATTCTTGTTCAAAATTTTAAGTACCACAGCTGCAAGACAAAAACTAAGTTGAATTATTTGCTAATACGTCGTTTCGTTTCTTTGCTAAGGTACAGGCTGTTTAGTCAAATAACACACTGGAAGTTACATTAAATCCATTTGACAGCAGTACAAATAACGACGTGTGTGTTTATTATTGTGTTTATTATTGTGTTTATTATTGTCTTCCTACAGGTTCTCTCTCTCTCTTTTTTTCACCAGTTCCTGCGCTCAGATGAACTAGATATTTTCTTATTTCGTTGTAAAACTAAAATAAAAACCGACTCTTACTTCAGCAAGTGCCCGCCGTCAGAGGAAATGGGAGTGGTGGGACGAACTTCCCTAGAATTCGTGGCGCAACACGAACAGGAAGAGTTTTTCCACCAGCAGCACAAAACCTCCCCGACCGTCTCTGTTCATTCCGCCCTGCTGGCGGCTGCCTGGGGTTTTTATTTTCGACTAAAGAACATCACGGGACGGCTTTGTTTCGACTACGGAATCGACTGGAAAGAGTCGAAAGAGTTTTCCTGAATTTAAAGGCTTTTGAGTTTTACTTTTGGAAAACCATGGCTTCTTTCCAGCTGCTGGTTTTCTTGGGATGCTTTGCGACTGCGCAAGCTGCCATCGGTATGTATGTTCAGCGGCTTGTTGACAATATAATTGTGAAAATAATTTTAATCGAACAACTTTTTGCAGATCTCGAGTGTTTCAACGACTATGAAAAAATATTTTGCCAACTGGGGGTGGAACAGTGTTCACAATATACCTTGAGGGTGGATGATGACTTTGAGTGAGTTTTTTTGTTTGTTTGTTTGTTTAAGAGTTACAGATTAATTTTATACAGACATTGTTTATATTGTTGTTTATAATTTTGGACTCTACAGAAAATTCAATCCCTCTTTGGAGAAGTGTAACGGCCAGCAGTGCTGCTTCTCTACGACCTTTGAACCTGTCTCCAAAGATTATTCTGTAAAAGTTTTCCAAGGAAAGGAAACAGTCCGTTCAACAACTTTCGACGTCCTGAAGACCTGTATGTAGAGATTCTCAAACGCTGCCACATGTAGACTGGAAGTAATTTAGAAACACTGAAGTTTGTTTCTCTTTCCTTTGACACAGTAAAGCCTAAAACTCCAACGATTGTGACTGTGAATAAAAGTGGAATGATCTATACAGTCAACTGGATGACACACATGAGTGACATACTTGGTAAACTGACCGCTGAAGTGACCGTCTTCAAAAATGGAACCCCATGGAAGGTAAGACCAAATTTCCAAGCAGTACTAATCACCAGGTCCACTTGGCTTGGTTTTTAATTGTAACGTTTGGGTTGTTCTATGTTGGTAAAACAACACCAACCACACAATACTTTGTCTTGAAACACTTTCCTTGTCATAGCAGGAGTTTAAGGAGATCACTCCAGCTACAGTCGATGGACAAGAGAGTTTCCAAATAAATGGTCAAGATTTGGAGCCAGAAACAGTTTACACGGTCAGCGTGAGGAGCTACACGGACTACAGTCAAAAATTCAGCGACCGAAGCAATGAGTACGAAATTAAAACCCGTAAGTTTTGTCATGTTGTGATCAAATCTTAACTCTTTATTCAGTGAAATTTGTTCATAGTTGACATTTGTGAACAGCCAATTAAGCATCCTCATTTGACTATGAAGGGGAATATTTAAGAGCAAGAAGATTAAGTGATCAAAAGTGGAAAGTGACCAGACAGGCGCTTACAAAACTGTCAAACTTTATCATCAAATTGTCAAATAATTACCTAAAAAAATGTCAAATAAATCAATTTGTTACATTTGAACTTGCTTGCTACTATGCACATTTAAAAATATCTTATATATCCTGAGACTCAAATATCACTGATTTAAGCCAAATGTGTGTGTTTTTTTTTCTAGTGCAGGTTAATTAATCTGACCCAGAATATTTCTGAAGTATCCTGATGAGGTGTCCCTGCATGCAATGTGTTTACAGATTCGATATGCCTTACCCCTGCGATAGAACATGAATTTATTATGATCAGATTTGTGCTCACTTAATGACCCCGTAAACACAGAAGTAATCTTTAGGCTTATATGTCAATGCTGGTGAACAAACTGGGTTTCTCTCTAACCGACGTCTGACTTGCCACTTCTCAGCTAGCGCACCAAACTCGCTGGTCCTGTGGATCATCATTCCCCCTAGCATTTTTGGAATCATCTTGATAGTCTCTATTTACATCTGCTTTGTAAGGTAAGCCATGCTGTTTGCAAAGTATTTGCATTGTGTGCATTACAGGCTTCTGTTAGCTCAGTTTTCTAACCTTTCTGTGTTTATGTATCCATTTCCATTTTGTAGGATCAAGAAGAAGTGGTGGGACAGTTTCTCAGAACCGAAAAAACTTTCTGTATCAGTCGGAACTCCACAGGTGAGACCCCATTTTGGACCGTTTTTTATTTTCAGCTAATTAGACAAAAATCATTTGAAGTTCAAACTTATCTCAGCAAGGAAAGCACATTAAACAATGTTACATGTGAAAAACAGAGCAACTTTTGCTTTGTGCATACGTTTTCTAGCCACAGACTAATTTCCAAACCCAGTTCTTGGTTGGACCTTTATTAAAAGACAACAAAATTTAAAATATAATTTCCTGTCAAACAAACACACACCTATGCTGAATTTCTGTATAAACAAGAAAACATGTAAATGTATATTAGAGAAAGCTAATTCTCCACAACAAAGTAGGTTAGTATACATCAGTATTCACACATTTGTTTTCGTTTTAGACATTGTTTCAGCTGAGAACTTATAACTAAAAATGATCTTTTTCCACTTTTATTGCTGGAGGGAAACTGTGCCAAATATGAGAACTAGAACATTGACCAAATGATGTCTTGTGTTTTGCAGGTTTGCAAACTGCAAAGTTTTTTAAAAATATTATACTCACTAGCTCTGCAACAAGAGCATTGATACATTTAAAAGTCATTTTTTTAAAAACAAAAATGAATAACATTGTCAATGCTTAAAAGACTGTATTTCGTCAGTATTTTACAGTGGTGCCACTTCATTGGTTTTTGGTCTAAAACTTTAAGTACTTATTGGAACAACAGGATCGCAGGTTTTAAAGCAGATTGAATAGTCAGTCAGTGTATGACTGACATAAAAAAAACGTCTGAATGATAGAAAAAGTATGATCTTTCCTCACAGGTGTGTTTCTTTGTGTTGTGACCAATGTTTGACTGGTTTGAGACGTCCATGATGCTACAAACCACATTGTCATAAAACAAGAACTTAAATGACAAATAAATAACATGATTAGGGATGTACTAATTATGTTAGTGATCAGATTGTTGTTTTCTGAATGATCAATCTTTAAAAAGTCTGAACTGCTGATTCAGACTATGGCTAGTAGCACACGATTTGTTTTTATAGACGAAACCATATGGTGTTATAGCTGATAATAAACAAAATCGAGGCTTCAAGAAAACAAACAAACAAAAAAACATTGCTAGTGTAGTCTCAAAAGTCACTAAATATAGCGACTCCCAGCAGAGCAAAAAGGGACAGTGGCTGATTTTCAGACCTTTGCAGAGGTAGTTTAAATAACTGGATAAGGTCAGTTTTGGTCGATCACCCAAAATTAAGGAAACTGGGTCTGATTGATTGGTGCACCCCTATGCATTGCATAATCACCCTCGTAAGAACAACAATTATTTCTGCTGCTGCTAAACAAATGCTGCAGTACATTGTTTTCTGATTTTATAAATCTTTATTGTTTCAGTTTTTCAAACCTCATGATGAAACCACCTCTCCTGTCCGGGTTCAGAGCTTCCCTTCAAAGGACGACGACCAAATGTAAGTACTGCAAATTTGCTGATATTTTGGTCTATGTGGGATTACATCGGCAGTTTGCAAAACTCTTTCTCTATGTTCAGGTCGCCAATTAAACAGAGAGAAGATGGCAGTATGAATGGCAACAGCAGTGGAGGCTCTTCAGATCTTTGTTATGGTCAGACGGAAACTCTTGACCCAAACAGCGAAGACTTTGCCAAAATTATAAATAAATCCTTATTGGAATGCCTATCAAAACACTTTATTTTCACTGATCTACATATTCGTGGTCAAGGTCATGAGGCGTCTCTTTGCCCATCATATAAGTCGGGTAAGGCTGGCATATTCAATCGTACCTATTTTCCGCCTCTTCCCAAGACTCTGAATCTGACTAAGGAGAACTGTTCTGGAGTAAAATTCCCAGACAACTCAATAAATTCCTGCAAAAGCAACACTGTGGGCTGTCCTGACCAACAGATACCTGCTGGTCTGCTTTCGGCACAGAAAGGTATTTCATCTGACGTGCGGGTAGACATGTCATACCAGAAAAACAAAGCAAATGCCAACCAATCCCCTCTTTCAGAAAACAGCAGCTTATCCTCCACTTTCAGTGGCACCACTACAACCACCTCTTCTGGGTTTCACTCCAGTAATGGATCCATCTTGAAGAGATTTAATGAAGAGAACCCCGACGTCTTAAAAATGCTGTCTCCAAGCAGTCTGCCTTCTGGGACATGCCACTGTCCTGTGGTTGTAGACGACTACAAGCCATTTCGAAGCAAAGTGGAGCATCCAGGTGTTCTGCCTTCAGAAAACCAAAGCATTGATCATCAGCGTTTGAATGTGATTGAAGGCGAGAGATTCCTCCAGGTGCCTAAAATGTGCTTTACTCCAGATTTGAGAAAATGGAATGGTCCATGTCCTTCGGTGCCGCAGATACCACACTTACCCTTACTGTCTTCTGACATGGCTGCCCCAGTAGTTGTAGTTGATGGCTATAAATGTGTGTAGTTCACCAGCCCTGGCTTAAGACTTTGTATGGCAAGATGTGGAAGCTTCAGGAAACCTTCCCGACTTTCAGAACTAGTTTGTAGCAGTGCCAGCTGTTGGGTTTGTTTCATGTCATTTGCAGAGCTGGTGACAATGGTCAAGTTGTTTTCAAGCAGAGCTGTTTATTTTCTTCTTTTTTAACCTTTCGATTAAACAGTATCATCAGGGTTTCATTGTATTTTACATGACTGAGAAGAAAATAAGTGAATAAAAAAGTACATAAATGAGTTGTATATGTTTGTACATTTATCTACGTATTATTTAATGTGATGGAGACTTTATTTGTGCTGTGTGGAATTGTTTTCCACAATGTAAAATATGTAAATATCAAGTTTATATATGTTCCAAACTATGAGCCAGCGCCGTCTGTTTGGAACCAAAATCTCTTTCTTGCAAATGCTTGAAGAAAGCAGAGTAAAGTGAGATGTTTCTGTCAAATTTAATGTGTTCTGTTTGTTCCTTAAATAAACTTTATAATGTGAGTAAAACTGGGTAAAGACTCGTCTATCCATATTGCGCCGTTTAAAGGAAAACAGGAGTGTAATTGAAACATTCAGTTGAAACAGAGCCTGTTCTGTTCAGGGTTAAGAAATTACTTCCTTATTGCAGTTCTCCGGAGCTGGTGACTCATTTCCACAGAAGTATGCGTCACGACTGCTGAGCATGTTTTACTTTTGACAACAACTGGAAAAGAAAAGATGCTCAATGATAAGAATAAAGAGGCACTGGGCAACAGTGCAACCGAAATAACACTAAACAAGTAAGGATTTGATTGTACAGTAAATCTAACAGTAAAAATGCTTTTTAAAAGCACAATAATAAATCCTTATTTGTATGGCAGTTTGCCAACAGTCGTGTTATCAAAGTATTTGTAAAAATACAACTGACCAGAAACAGATTTTTTTTTTTACAAATATTAGCAAAAATATATACTTTACTTTGTTTTATTTAAAAAATGGCAATGTTAGTTTTGTTTTATAACAGTCAACACCTAAAAATGTCTCAGTAAAAGCTCTCCACAGCTTTTACTATAGCAACCATAACAAACTATTTCTTCCTCATTCTTCTCATCCTCTAGTAGCACCAGCATTTTGCCATTGTACTGTCAAAACACATAAAAAAATAAAAACAAGCTAAAATTAAATAAAGCTTAAAATCAAGTCCAAAATTGCAGCCAGTGGGAGTATTGGATTAATGTGCTGTCCTTGGTGTGGATTTGAATCAAAGCTTGAGTATTTGAAGCTGGCTGCATATTTTGTTGGTATGTATCCACACACATATAATTGCTATAATCTAGACAAGACGTAACAAATTTATATTATAGTTTTAAACACATTTTAAACCGTGTTTATGTTGCATAGGTTACAACATGTAGGCTATGGTTGAAACTAAGGTCAATGTCAAAAGCGTCTCAAGTTTCTGATCTCCAAATATAACAATGTTGGTCTTTTGCATCTAATGTCAAACAATAAGAATCTCAGTTTCTGTCTTTAACTGTGAAAGTGCTGACACAGTTCTGAGAACATATGGAGACAGAGATTAACACAGTTTTATATGTCACAATGTCAGTTTATTACATTTGCCAGAAAAAATATTTTCAATGTAAAAGAGCTACGGGTCAATTGCCCTGCCCTTATGACATAGAAAACACTATGAAGCGCAACAAAATAAAGTCATTTGAGAATGATTTCAAGTGATTCAATACAGTGCCAGAAAGCTCAAACTGGTTTCATAACTTGCTCTGTCAGATAACTGGGGCAACCGTGCAGAAAACGTTTACAGAATATTGATTCATCTTTAATAGAAGCACTTTTACATTCTGTGAAGCCAAATTAAAACTCTTAATGGAGATTGTTTGTATTTAATTTGCTGTGCACGACCTTTTATTTCCACCTATTCTGAAAGGAAAGGTTTAAGGCTGGCATGTTTTCTCATTGTTTTATTAATTTCTTTTCAGAAGCGTCCTGACAGGTGAGGTTTCTGGCGAATGAGAAAACTTCACCTGTAATGAGAAGCTTAAAACCTTTACCAAATCAATATATGCAAAACTTAAAACTCCAATGAAAAAAATATAAAAATGAAACTTTGGTCATTCAAGTAGGAAAAGTATGTGAAAAATAGAATTTGAAGAACTGTCATAATAACATAAAGGGTAAAAAGGTTTTGTATTTTGTTCTACACTGATAAATCTTTAATACTACATAATATTTAGTCTCATTTGTCTTTTGGAACATCGTTCAGCAATCTCCTCTTGAATGCCGTGAACAGTATGAACAGTGTGGATACACTTCTTGCGTTTCTAACGTTGCAGGCTCATGTGACACGCCTGCCTTGAATCGTGTTTGTTCTGCTTCCATCTGATGTTCTTTATGTGCACACACTGTTGTACTTCAGGTGTGGTAAAATCCCTCACCTCTGGCTTTCACACCTGAAAACCTGATGCACTCATGACGAAAAAAAATTTGTGAAAAATCAGATTCCAACTAATTTCAAAAGTGGCAGCAGGACTCCATCAGTGCCATCTTATTCTTGACATTTCGAAATGTCAAGTCAATCATGGCCTATTTAAATACATTAACACAATCCTAAACCCATCCAACCACTCCAAAGTAGCCTACTTCAAAGGAAAACCAGTGTACTTTGGTATGAGAGGAGGAGCCCATTTTCAAGGAAACTTAACTGGAGGAGGAGCTGAATCAAGTTTACATGTGCGAGGAGCTGAATGAAAGTTACCTGTGATTGGAAGAATCTGACAGAGTAGGACGGTTGTTCCAGTGGAACTTGATTTGATCACACCACATCATTTTTTTTATTTTACTACTTGGACCCTCATGTCTCTTGCGACACCTATTCCCAAACCTCCTCTCCGCACACTTGAGGCGCTGACCTGCAGTATGCAGCAACCGGCAAGGCAGAGACTGAGACCTTGGCTGGAGGAACAGATTCACTCTGGGAAGTATCCAGGTGTCAGCTGGCTGGACCAGGTACGTTCCTCTACCTCACTCTAACACTCCTTCCTTGCACCTGCACAGACATGTACATGCACACCTGGGTTCATGTTGCTTCCTGTGATAGAAATCACGTTTTTTTTTTAACCAAAACGTAAAGTTAAGTAACGCGACGACTAAAATGTGACTTCATCTCGTCCGACAGTCAGCTTGCATCTTCCAGATTCCATGGAAACACGCAGCTCGCCACGGTTGGAGCATTGACCGGGATGCTACGCTCTTCAGGAGTTGGGCTATGCACACAGGTAAGACCCACAAACTCACAGAGTTGCTTTTACTCTACCTCCCGGGTCTTCCTGTTCATGTCGATGAACCACAGCTACTCCATCTGCCTCCTCTTCTCACGGCTCATTCAAGATCACATTTAGCATCACAGTGAGTGGAAGGTCAAGATAGATCATGTAACCCATTACAACAAGTTGGGTTACTGTTCTTGAAGTTGCATGAACTATAATTTCACAATCTAATATTGTTAGTGAAGAAAACAACAATACTTGGAATTCCTAATGTTTTTAAATATTATGCTGAATTATTGCACAGGACGATAAATGAATGTTTTTGATTCAGGCTCAGAGTTTTTGAGTGTATTAAATGATTCTGAATCGATGTATTTTCTTCTAAATTTGAACCGAAGCACAAAATATTATCTGGACTTTGTTTTTATTGTGCAACTGATCATACAATGTGCGTTTCACTGCTTCATTTGGAGCAGCACAACAGTACGATCCAACAAAAAAATATTAAGTTTTCTATCTGTAAATGGACTCAAACAATTGAACAGATTGAATGTGGAATTAAAACAATATCCAAACATCAACCAGTTCAAAAGTAAATACAAAACTATAACACTCACAATGTACAGGGACGAAGCGGATGACATAACTATGTTGCTCGCTACTGAGTTTTCTTTCTTTATTTTTGTTTTGTGTCACATTGATGTTGCTAATAGTTTCATTGTTATTCGTTTTTTCATTATTAGTGATGGACGAAGTAATAATAATTTTTATTTATCTCATTTATTTTTGTGTAATGAAAATCAGATGTTAAACTTCTTGTCTGCTTAGTATTTAATTTTATATCAAAATTGGATTAATATTATTTATTTGTTATTATTTTTTATTTTTTATTATTATTATTATCAGAAATAATAGCTGCAGTAGTAATATGAGTCTGTAAATTTGCTTTTTCATGTTATGAGATTTAGTTTGTGATCACTTTGTTTTTACATATTTTTTTATGTAATATTATTTGTTGGTCTCTTAGGACTGAAATACAACATGCATGTAGATGCCAAACATTTATGATAATTACTGAGTGAGTAGATTTAGTTAAATTGAGGCAAGGAATAGAAATTATTAGGCTTTTACTCCTTCCTGCTTCATTGGGTAAGTACGATGAGTTTATTATATAGTTCTTGGTTATATATGCATGTGTTTCCTTTCTCTTGTCCTAGACATTACTTAAGAGTTTTTTTGTTAGTTTTTTTTTTTTTTTGCTTGTTTGCTTTTTACGTCTGATTTTATTTAATAAATAGAAAAACAAACAGCATTCAAAGAAAAGAATCACAAAAAGTTTGTAACTGTTAAAATTACAGTATATTGGTGTATAAAAACACGCAGTTAGGTTTCCATCGGGGAAAAAAATAGAAGCTAAAATAGAAGTTGAGAATAACTGTAGTCTATGTAAGTGTGTAGCTCTGTGAAGGCCCAGGTACATAATCTTTTGTATCAACATTTCAAATTTTTATCGTCCTGGAGATTGATGCAGATCGTTCATTTTTTCATATCCAGATGTCTCCAAATGGTTGGGCTTCAAAAGAAAGTCACTTTGTTAAAAAGAAGTTTAAAAAATAGCTGAAAAGTAATTGTAAAAATTGCAAAAGAGAAAAAAATTAAAAGGTGTTAGGATTAGGGTGCATTCGGGATTATCTTTCCCTGTTGACCGTTTATCTCTCTTTGAGTTGATTTCCACTGAAGAGTCGCTGTATCGCTCAGTTTGTCTTGATGAACCACATTCCAATCATAAATCCCTTTTCCAGATAACTGATGAGAGCAGATAAGAGAAAATAAACAACAAAAGCAAATAATTATGGCCACCTATCTTTGAAAACAACTAGTCTAATGTTTAGATCTTGGTGCAATCCATCCAAGACCCCTTTGAGAGTTCAGAGCCAACGTGAGCACACACCCAAGAAAAATACTTTCAGCTTACAGAACTATTGTTTGATGCAAAAAGCAAAGTAAATAAAAAAGAGAACAAATCTGAATGTTTCTGGGCTACTGTCATGTTACTGTCATGGGAAAACAATCTGATTTTTTTCCTTGCAATCTATAAAATGTCTTGCTCTGTCAGCGAGGTTGATTCTCACTCTGCCTTTAAGATAACACATACACATGCACAGACGTGTAAATCTAAGTACATTTTCTTTCTTTTTGTCTTGGGAAAATCGTTTTTTTTTTTTTTTTTTTTGGCCCTGTATCACGTCACATCATGGGAAAGCTGCAGTTCACTTGCAGTGAGGGAGAAAGGTGATCATATTGCTGTCAAAGTACATCTCTAATGGTTTTCATGAGAATGTAGACTGAAGACATGAACAACAATTTCCAAACTCAAATTTGTAGAGATGCAATGTAAGAAGTATCTCAATTATTTACCTGAGTCTGATGATCACAGTGGTTATCTTCCTAAACCTTGTGATTAAGATCTAAGGTGAGACTCAGAGTCAAATAATACAACGGTGCTAAATTTGAGAAAGGACTCGTCTCACTTTGCACTCACTTTACAAGATAGATGGTCTGCCAGCTGATGACATTTGATATTTTCAGGGAAGTTCATGCGAAAGTGTTCCGGCTCCATTTAAAAGGAGAAATACCTGCCTTTTTTAAACAAAGGTGCAGCCTAGTTTCTGACACATATAAGTACCACAGTGGATATCCATATTTTCCTAAATATGGTTGAGGTATTTTCAGACTGGGCAATTCATTCACCGTTGTTCATTTGTGGAGGTATGCTCAAAGCATATTCAACTGGCAGGTGATTGGAAGTTTTTCCTGATCGAGCTGAAACAAACCTTCCCTTCAAGGAAACAAACGATTACTAAAAATTTCCAAGGAAGGCCAACGTCGCTGAAATGTTCTGTTACGTTCATCCACTAATGAATGCTTTTTATGTGCCGCACATTCAGTTTCACACTAGGTAGTTTTACTCGTCTTTTTCTTTTTGTGAGTAAGAACCATTGGTCAGGATGACGTTTGTTTAATGTATATTTCCTTGTGAAATTGTGCTTCCTTAAAAATATTTAAATTATCCACCATGTTAGCCTTACACAGTTAACATGGTGGATCATTTACAAATCACAAACTGCTGTAAAACAAGAAAAAAGAAAAAAAAATGAACATGCTTAAAATGTTGAATTAACAAAATTACTAGAACAAAATTAAAAAATAAACATATCCAATTAAATAAACCAAAAGTTGCAGAGCTTTTTTAAAAAAAAAAAAACTTTCCGATATAAAAATAAATTCAGCTGCTCTAAAAAATGCCTCAGACATACGTTTTTTTTTTTTTTTTAAATACATTTTCAAATTACTATAAACAACACTACTGGACCCTTTGAGCTGGAAATGGAAGAGCCAGGTATTAAAAATAAAATCAAAACTAAGACTAACTGGCTGACAGCCTGGAGAACTCAAAGCAAAGTGAGCTCTTTTATTTGTACCAGATAATATCAGGACCTGCAGTTTGCACAGTCTTCAGTTGATCTACAACCGATTTGATAAAATATGTAAATCTATTACAGTAATCTAGGAGAGTCTAATCATGTCTGCATTTCACACCTATTGTCTCAGTTCAGAAATGTTTCTTAAACAATACAAGAGATTTTATATCAGCTTCTCAAGCAACGTTGAACTGTTCAAAACTAACATTCAGATTTCTGATGCTCAGTTGTATAGAAGAGGTCATACAACTGAAATGTATGTTTATTAAATGCTAATAAATGCTTTTAAAGTGTAACCAGGGACAATATCATGATGTTTGTTCTGTCTGGGTTCATCAAGAGAAATTTGGCGAGGCGGTCAATTAAACGAGACAGTTAATCAAGCTTTATAAAGTACACCCGGTTCTTCGTCTGAGGTCGTAAAGAAACAGTGACTAGAACACACCCTCAAGGAGCCGACAATAGAGAGCCGCCACTTCAGTTTCAACCTGATTTACAAACACACAAAATGTGCAAACACAGCAGTTTTAACTCTCAGTCAGTAATCTTTCAGTCCATTACTACTATACTCAAAAATACCAGAGATAGAGGAGAGGACGAAACTTTTCATTTACGACAAAACAAAATGATGAACTCTCATTTCTCTGATAACTGGAGACAGTGAAATGAGATCTCTGAAAACAACATGGAGCCGTGTCAATGGTTATTCGTTCATGTTTAAATCTTCTAATCTGAAGGTCCACAAAGCTGCGCTAACTATTTTCATTGCAGATGGGTTTTTATTTCTAACTGCCAACGGCGTGTCAAACACATCAAAGCCTGAGGAGCGGTGGTTACGCAGTGGTTGCACTTAGTCCATAAATCATTCATGAACCTGCCAGATTCTTGATTGGGACGTATTTCATTCAAGGAAGGAAAATGTTTCTGATAAGAAGTGAGGCAAACATCTCCTGAAACATATTTAAAAAAATTTTAAAAGAATGTTTAGATTCAAAATTAATATATTTGTCTGTTTTTATTTATTTTTTATCAATGTAGCAGTATTTCAACAATCTAACCTTTTCTTCTCATTTGCAACCAGATTTTTTCAGATCTCTGTCTTGTTGTGTTTAAACATTGATCTTTGGTGATAAATGATAATGTTGATCAAATGAAAGCTAACTTTAAAGCTAAGCCTGACAGGAAAATGAATAACTGAGTTGCTGCAAAGCCATGCATTACGTTTTCATGTCATTTCATAAGGTGTTATGAAGAATAGCTACACGGAAAGACAAACGTTAATAGAGGTTTGAGGGTGTGCTGCAAACCTCTTCCTGTACCGATAATTGCTTCCTCATAATTGTTATACAGCCATGGTATGTGACAGAAACTGATCGCTATGGAGCTAAGTTGTTGTTTACCCACTCCATGGCTAGCATGAGTAGCAGAAATCCCTTTAGGTCAGTTTCTACAAGATTATGCTGACCTCACTTTTTAGGCTTCCTGTGAAGCGAGCCAGCCAGATGCAAAAGAACACACCTTAATACTCATGAACAGACAAAAATGTAATTTTCTTGAGTTGTTTATTTATGAGATAAGGTATTCACATTGGTTGTGACAATAATTTGAGAGATGAATCAGTGTTTTTGCAGAAAAGTAGCCATCTATGAGTGCTAAAAGCTCCCCTCACCGATGTTCACCTCCATTTTCATTTGTTTCAGGAAAGTACCGTCCAGGCAGAGACAACCCAGATCCCAAGACATGGAAAGCAAATTTCCGGTGTGCCTTGAATTCCCTACCGGACATCTGTGAACTGCGGGAGCACAGCAGGAAGCGAGGCAGCAACGCCTACAGGGTCTACAGGATGCTGCCCAGCTCTCAGACACGCAGACGAAGGAGAAGTAAGCAACTTAAATTGCTGCACCCTTTTCATTTCTCAAAGGTTATTCTTACGCACCTCTCAATTCAATCCCGCTCTCCTCTTCACATCAGCAGGACTGTTCCACAGACCGCAGGAGAGGCCGAGAGATTTGGAGAACTCCAGAAGTGACGACACATACAGCTCACCGCAAACCTGGCAGCCTACAACAGCACTACCTGTTACAGACCCACCACATAAGGTGGAGACCTGCGTACCACACAGCTTTAACAGCCCTGAAGTACAAGGTAAGTTATATCTCTGTTTGGAGTGCCTCGTCTTTCCCAGATTGAAGGATGCAAAGTCTCTCCAGCTCAAGAAGATTCATAAATATTGTTCAGTTTCAGGAATGTGGGAATCCAAACCTGTGGATCAGGAACCCAGTGAGGCTGTCAGTAAGGTAAGTACTAATTCTTCTGACAGAAGTGAAGCTAAAAAATGAGGAAGTAGCGACAGTTGCCTGAAAAAAACTATAAATCCACTATAAATCCAGGATCTATTTGAGAGATTTCAATCTCATCATTATATATTTTTCCCCCAAATGTTGTTTGTGTCTTTTTTATCTGAGTGAGTGTTTTGTCTCTTGTAGCTAATGGACCATTTGGGCAGCCCTGACGTCTGGAACCAGACGTGGGAGCAGAGAGGATGGAGGACACACACTCAGTGGGAACAACCGCAATGTACGACACTTGAATAAAATTTGATTATTATACAAAGTGTCATCGATTCGTAAATTTGACATTATGCTATATGCTGTTAATTAATGATTAATGATTAATTAATGATAACTCTACAAATTAATTGACCTGGTTACTTAAAAATGTATAATTTTGTTTCATAATTCCAAACAGCAAGTACATTGTGAGTTATAATCACTTTTAGAGCTACTGAAACAAACACCCAAAAACATTCACACCTTTAATTACCGTCTTTTTTAAGAATCACAAATTAGTTGCTAGCAAATTTGCACTTTTACTGTGAAAAATTCAGGTTTTTCAGACCTGAGAAAACCAGCAATGGTTCAGGAACAGTCAAAAAGAATACAAATCTCTATTTAAGATATTTCTGATCAACTTGAATCCAATATTTTATTATCTTTTTTCTAAACTATAAAATAATTATTTGAAGGAAAGATGCCAATGCTCTGATACTGCCGTGCTGCAGGGCAGCGTTTTGCATTTTGCCAATCTTGCAGAATACTAATTTGTTCTTAAACAGTTTTGTCTTTGGAACAGAACAACAGTTTTGGTACATAAGAGACAACTAAAATTGAAAGAAATATACATTCACAAACATAAAATTATATCTTATGTACAAAATATGATTGCATTGTTTAAAGGCAATTTTGCATTCTGCTTTCATTTTGCTTTCATTTTGAGGAGAAGTCAAGCTCGTCTTTCATCAAGCTTGATGTCCTTATTATGTGCGACCATATAGACTTTAAGTGACTCAAATTACCCTCAGGTTGTCCATGCTGACACTCTGATTTTAATGTTGTGAACTCCTCAGGTGCTGGTGAGGAGAACCCGTATCCTCTCCAGACGGAGGACTACGGTGAGCTGTTTGGCCCAAACTACATCAAAGATCTCTCAGACTGGTCCACACATCAGCAAACGCTGATGCTGTAGCTGTTTGTCTCCTCTTTCTGTTCTGTATTTATCATATTTTTGTTGAAATGACTATTCCCTTCATATACTTCTGGCTGTTTCCTTGTTTCTGTTGAGCCGACTGCAGAATGAGTAAGCTGAATGGAATAAAGCTGGGGAGCAACAGACGTTATTGCTGTGTCAATCAGCCTGCGTGCTGGGAACGCTGGAATGAGAGGATCTGGTTCCAAGCCAAGCTTTAATGCTGCTATCATCATTTGTGTTCACTCTGGTTCAGTGACTCGGGCTCATTAAAAAGACTCCAACTGCACAGCAGAGCTTTCAGAGTAAACAGATCAGATTTCACCCAAGCGCAGGATTTGGTATTGATCTCCTGTCTATTTTTGACTGCCTCTGGATGTTTTTACTAATAACAATTAGGTCAGAGCAGAAAAATAAAACAAGAAACGTAATAATATGTGTGTTTGTGTTTTTAAGCTCAATTCATGATTTCCTCTCATTTCTTGTTACAAACAAAATTGAGTTCAGCCTCATTTTGTCATGCGTGGCATAAAAAAAGTGATTTTTTTTGTTATTGTTGCTGGTTTTTAAGAAGTAATTGTCTAATTTTGTTTTTTATTATGTCAATTCGACCACCAGTTTTATGCCCTTACTGTGAATTATGAATAAAAAATTAAACATGGTTTGTGCCCAATTTTCCTTCACTCACATTTATTCTGTGTGGATTTACATTGTTATACCATATATCAAGTGCTAAAATGCCTTTTCCCAATTCCTTTAACAGAGTTCTGATTTTAAGTGAGATGGTCTTTATAACATGGAGCAGCATTATAATCTACTGTCAATCTTTTATGTTGTAGCTTCAAATGCTCTTTGCTTCTGGTGAGTTTAAGTTTGGCGATTCATTTTTGATTTCCCCGTTAGTAAATGAAAGTTACCCTACAGTTATCCGGTAAGAAAAGGTGTCAAATCAGACATGACCTGACAGAACCATGATTACACTGACTTCTTTCCTCAGCAGTTATGTCACTATTGAAACGTTGGCTGTTGAAATCTATGTACAAAATATGCATGGTGTCAATTAATGGGGAACATGTCAATTCTTGCAGCTTTCTTGTTCAGCTACCTTCAGTCTTGGAGCTCTCTAGTTATTTTAATACTCATACTCAAAATTAAGAAATACATGGAATATTTGGCATTCTGATAAAATTTCAGAATGGGCCTTTAAGTGCATCATACTCTTTACAGAATTAGAGCTTCTCTTATATTTTGAATGCAGGTGTTCAGTTGCTCAATGTTTCAGGTCTTTTTGCGTTACATACTGTTCTCAACAAGGTGAATAACCCCTAAAACTACAACTGTGTGATCTATGAATGAATCACCAAATGTTCTTCTGGTTGTTCCAAGACAATTTAGAATTAAACAGTCCTCTTCTTCATTCTTTTTGCAATTGACAGCCTGAGAACAAGATAGCAACAATCAATCTGACTGTGCCTGGATATTTCAAGGCTTCAAATATATAGATATATATATGCAAACAGCACAAAAGAAAAGAAAGCATCCATGGGGCAGCACAAATCTGGTGAGAACCATTAGCCAATCTCTAAACATTTGGCTGCATCTTTGTGTTGGAAGGTCCGGACCTGGAGTTGGACGGTGGAAACTTGAATGCCCTGTGGCCATTCTGCTTGTAGTTCACCCCACTGATGAATTAGCACTTGTACCAAAGCTCAAAATGTCAAAATTCTGTCAGCATTCTGATAGATGTGCCGAGTTGTTCCACTCAACTTTTGATGAGGATTATTACTTGGATGAGTGAAAGCATGTCTCTTCAAGTTCCTCCTGTCACAATAGAGTATTGTCTAAAAGCAATCCATGTCACTTGACATGCACTTTGTCACTTGCATGACAAAGTAACACTTAACATGCAAGTGTCACTTTTTCCTCACATAACAAGGTTGTTGTTTCACTTGATGATGCCTTATATTGAAGTGACAATACATTCCAAATTGGTGCGACAACATATAACATTTATTTACCCAGAAAAGGAAAAAAAAAACAAACAGTAGAACATCCCTTCAAAGTGGGAACTACATGAAGTTAAGTCCTGAGAAAAAGAAAAACATTGTGCCAACTCTGCCTTCTCTTCCCTGTCACAGTTTACAGAAAAGAAAATAGGCATGAATGCAAATACATATATATCACGGAGTCATCACTTTTATACATCACTTATTTTATGTACAGCATCATCATGAGTCATGAAAGGTATCCCAAAACGATCGAGCTGTTTTGTCACATTCAAGCAGTCCAACAGCACAGCCTGCTGGTCACACAAATGTACTGCAAATGCCAATTGGACGACTTCATGTTTTAGATTTTTGTGGATAAAAAATGTTTACATATACGTCTGTTTTACAGAGAATCACTACACAGACAATACAAAGAAAACAGGCTGATGTGTCAAAATAGTATTTTCTAAACCTGACTTGACTTAATTTCATTAAATAAGTCCAAAAGAGAAAAGTTAAGGCTGTAATGGATTTACAATTACACTGCATTTTCTAATGGCTGGTACCAATGTTAAAATTTGAGTTCTTTTGTACTTTTTAGCATGCTGCACCATATACATTCAATCATAGGATAGACAAAATGTGGCAAGGTTTACAAAATTAAAGCCTCCTTGATTTTTACATATTTTACTATTATTTCTGATTAAATTTTCAATAGTTCTTGGTATGGAAATAACAAAAAGTTCATCTCAAGTTATTAAAAAAAAAGTTAGACAAAAGAAGTGAAATCCACCCTGATCACTGAACAACCAACAGAGTCAGACAATAGCTGCATTTGTTTACTATTCCCCTTTAAAGGAAGGTTTGTGTGCTTGTGGAAAAGGCAAACCCTTTAGAGAGAAAGAAAAACTACAGCAATGGGAGGGAATTTGTGCCTACAAGGTAAGAGAATAATACTTTTTTGTAATAATGAAAACACATTAAAGTCTACATGAGAACCAAAAACAACTAAAGACAAACGAATGACAACTTCAAGAGACGCGTGAGCTCTGATCTACGTAAGACGTTCCAAGACCTTCATGGGGACAGAATTACGGCAAACTAAAACAGGGATTATCAGTTAGATAAACTGGGATTTATTGGCGTGCTGGTGAAAGATACAATCAGTCACATTTAGCTGGATGAACAACTTACATTAAATCTGTCAATGGCTACAACACTAACCTACCTCAGAGCAACAGTCAGCACTTGTGATCTGTTTGAACCGACTTTCATTATTTGCCTAGTTTGTGCACAATGATAGAAACAAAATGCATTTCTTTTAAAATGATTTTTTTTCTATAAAACACTACAAGCATGGTTGTTGCAGCAATATGCTTCTAACACTTAAAAAAATAAACACTACTTAGGAAGGCAGATGAGGAAGTTTATAGGTTATTAAAATTCTATATGCTTCAATCTGAATGATTTTAAAAAGAAATGATTGAAACTAAAGAGAAATTTGTTAGCATATATGTGTGTACAACGTATAGTCCAGTGTATCCACTCGTTTTCAAGTTTGTTACAAGACCAGCAACCTTCAACCCTTAAAGCGACTCAGAAAAGCAACAGCAATTCTCAGAATAAAAATCGGAACCTTTTTTGCGTCGCTTAATTTTAATCTGTCGTTTGATAAACCTCTGAGAATGAAGAAGAAACTGAACGTTCTACATATCCAGTGTGGCCCAGCCACCATGAGGTCCGTTCACAAATCAAATCAATAAATTACAGGCATCCAGTGGGCTACAACAGCAAATATTTCTGAAAATGTTTTCTCATGCATACACACAAGCATACAACCGACTGACATTATGAGCTCTAAACATCTTGATCTATGCCCTTAACATTTGCTCCTTACAGTGCAACATTATGGCAACAAATGGATAGCAGTGCTTTCATAAAAAAAAAAAAGAAGAGGAGGAATGGAAAATAAAAATATATACAAGATCTTGGAAAAGCAGTAGTTTCATTTTTTGGTCCTGGGTCCGTTACAGACAGAACTGCTTTTTCTTTTCTTTTTTTTTTAATTCTTCCATAAAACAACAGTAGTTTTCACAAGTCTGAAGAGCTGTGGGGGGAAAAAAAATTAGGAAGAAACATTAGGATTTGCAGCACTGGAAGTCAATGTCTACATTAACTTAGAAGTTGTTTTATTAAAATTTTTGACCTCTAGTTAAAATACATTTTATTTCTCAAGCATGCTATTGTTATCTTAGCTCAGCTGAATAAACGACAGCAGTTTAATTAAAAGAGAGGAGCAACTAAAGCAATGTGAAATGGGAGTTTCAAAACAAGGCAGAGTGCCACATCAGCAAAAAAGATGTCACGGTTTAGAATCTGATATGCGATACTAAAGTAAAATAAATACATAAACACATTCCATTAACAACTAACTCACTGTCTCAAGATAAGCTGAAGCGGTTTTCAGCAAAACAAAGTTTATCATTCGGGGAGAAAGTCCATGGTTTCCTCCCATTTGGGGAGAATTTCCTCAGTATAATATGATCAGACATCATATTATATGACGTGCCATTAATCCAGTGAGCATAAATGTGTTGTGTATCATCGCTCCAGTTTCCTCACAAACACACAAGAGCAGCTTACAGATGTGTGCCGTCAATGGTGAGACATAGCATGGGTCGGGTCAAAACAGAGACTTTTACAGTAGATGTTTATTCATGTGTTAAATCGAAAAGCCCAAATGCTGCGGTAATGCAACTAATATATATATACACAATCCATTTTTCATATTCCTGTATATTCTGTACAATCCTGGTAATTTGTATAATATGTACATAGCTCTCATATTTATGTTTATATTGTACAAAACATTTATAGCACATCATTATTCTCTGTTTATATCTTGTACAACTGTTTATAAATATTTATATCCAATATAGCACTTCTGGATAGATGCAAACTACATTTCGTTGCTTGTACATGTGACAGTGCAATGACAATAAAGTTGAATTCTATTCTATCAGAAAGTCTGCAGAGTGGACTTGTTGATTTGAGTTATTATTTTACAAAAAGAGACAGAGGAAGCTTTCAAAGGAGATGAACAGATTAAACGTTGCAACCTCCTTATCAGACTTTATCAAGAATGCTGCTCCGCTCCAAAAAGAAACCCTGGAAGATTACATGAGGAGGAGAATTGATTTGTCTTGTTTGTTATCAAGAATTCAAAGAATCTAAACTGCAGATTCTATTAATTACAAGCAAAAAGAAAAAGATACTGGTTGAAATAAATGGATTGAAGCAAACCCACCTCACCTCACTACAACTGAGAGCCCTCTGAGCCACCGTGTGTGTAGCCTCCTTTAGACTTCATCTGAGCCTGAACAAGATCTACCTACAAAAAGACGGAAATGTTAAGCAACCAAAGATCACAGTGAGGTGAGTTCAGCTGATTAAACCGTGAACAGTGAATGAAGCTTACTGATCCCAATCCAAGGCCCATATCTCCTGAGCCTACATGTGTGGTGTGAACAAAGTTTGTTGGCTCCCCGATCATGGAGCGGTCGATTCGTCGCCGCCGTTTCTGAAGAAAATGTAAACAAATATGTTCTTTCAAACCTCTGAAAGACTAAAGTTGGCACTTCATTAAATACATCAAGTTGAATCAAACAAACATA